CCTATAAGTATTTTTCTTTTTTTTTCTTGTTTATGTAATTTTGCCAATGTAAATATTTTCCTTTTTTTATTCATCATTATCTTTATTACGATGTATTTCGCATACATATTTAGGACGATTATGTACATGTAATCTTAATACACAGACCATGGAAATTTTATTTTAACAAAAATTAGATGGAAAATTAATTTCCAGTAATACATATTATTTTTCTTGTAGTGAAGGCTTAGGTACCTACTTATTGCTTTCGTTTTTGCAAAATATTTTCACGATAGCATGATAAGGTTTACTTTTGTTATTTTTGGCACCAAGCAAATTTAAGGTTTGAATTTTCCTGCTTCATGGGTTGTGTTTGCGTAGGTCACAAGTACCTAAAGGTGCCATAAATTAAAGGTCTCTGCATTTTACATTCTATTTTTTTTGAAAAAAACATCGGTTTGTTCTTGCACAAATAGTTGTGAGTGGTACCAAAAAAATGGTACATCTTATCTAATGTCGACTAAAATAAAAACACTGAAATAGATGACCCTGGGCGCTGTCCACATGACTATAAAAGTACAAGGATGTTGTGAATAAAACCAGTGACAGACTCCAAAAGCCAAAAGCATTTTATTTAAATTCTTATTATTAAACATTTTGTTTAATGGTAAATTGCAAAATTTTGTTAGCTGACATTTTCTGTTTTATATTTTTAGAAATCCATTCCCTCAAGAAAATAGGGGTATCAGTCGTTTGATACACAGTACAGGAAAATACAATGTTAGTAAAAACCAGACGCCTGAATTCTGGATCGCCCATATTCGGGACTTTTCTCACACTCTGGTGGAGAGTTCGTGGAAATGGATCCTTCTTGCATTCATTTCCAGTTACATTTTGTGCTGGTTACTGTTCGCGTGGTTTTACGAATTGGTCGCCATTGCGAACGGTGACCACGATGGTAATTACACATCCAGTAAACCGTGTTTGGAAGGGATCCACAGTTTCACCGGGTATTACTTGTTCAGTCTGGAAACCCAACATACCACAGGGTTCGGATCGCGAGTCATTACCGACAATTGTGTCGAAGGGGTTTTTATCTTGTCCATGCAGGTGATCTTGGGTAGTGCCATTTGTGGAGGAATGGCTACGTTGGTCTATACGAAAATGGTCAAACCGGAAAGTAAAAATACGAAAAAGCTGTTTGCCAAAAATGCAGTTGTAAGTACCTTTTAAGTTTAATATTATTTATAAAAAATTCTTTTTTTTTTGGGGTTTGAAGGTTTGAATGCCCCCCTCGATTAATTAAAGTAATCAATAATGCGACATATCAAAGCTTACGTGGACTAAGAAGTTGTCTATTTTTACAAAGCCAACCACCAACGATTCTCCTTTAATTTACAAGGTTTTATCAAGGTGTATTTTCTATAAAGTCCTGTTAATAAGGGCGAAAAGAGGGTTGTTAGTTTTTTAACAAAAAACAACTTATGATCTCATGCAAGCTTTGAAATGGCGCATTCGTATAAATTAGGGAACATGTGCAAACTGTAACAAATATATATGATAAGGGACGTCATTACAAGCGGTTGGTCGTATTATCCGGAGCCATTCAAAACAGATTGAATACAGGCGTACTTTGTCAAGTAAAAATCTTATACAGTTACGACGTAATAAATAAGTGGTTGTTATTATATGCGGAATCATTATAAGCGAGTTGATCTCGATTCCTCTTTTATGGCATGAAATAAAGAAGTTTTTGGGTATTTTTGTACGACCCACCATCTTTCGTACCCTTCTTAGAAGATCAGCTCTTAAATTTTACTTAACACTAACATTATCAAACATAAATGACTTTTCTACATTCTACTACGTTAAAATACGTTTTTATCTTTATTTTGGCGTTATTTTATGGCAATTTATTCTATAACCAAACACATTATTAGAGTGTCCAGTATTTTTAATTTTTCTACAGGTTTTTAAAATATCGAAATATTTCAATGATGTCATTAGTTATTTTGAAGTAAAGTGTATGTTACGTATTTTTTATTATGATACACATCTTTTTCTAATTATTGAAATCGTTTAACGCTTTGTTTGATGTTTGAAGACGAAGATAAGATTATTATAAAAATTCGTTTGAACATGTGGTCTCAATTAATAGATTAATTAAACGCCTATACGTCAATCTATTACTTTACAAATGGAAATTACAAAATTATTTATTCGGTATTAAATTCAGATCAATGGAGAAAGTAGTTGGTAGTGCTGCACTTGTGTAGAGAAAAGGCTAAAGAAATTTTACTGACAATGAGCGAATCAAAAGTTTTGAATAACAAAAAATGTTTCCGATATCGATAAATTAAAAAATTATCTCTTTCAATTTTTTTGTAATTACAGCGATAAGTTATAAATGTGTCTTTATACGTACATGTATTCTGTATTGGACACTTGTTTTTATTATTTATTACATAGATATTAGGAAGATTATTATAAATTATAGGTGCACTGATTGACTGGTAGACATTCGAAAAAGAATTTTAAGAGATTTTAACAAAAAGGAGGAGGACTTTGCTTCCGTTAGAGAATACAATGACTACTTAGAAGATGTGGAAACAATAATTTTTAATTTAACTCATGATATAGATATAGTGAATACCAATAAAAAAATTGATGAATACAAAAAAAACAACAAAGAACAAATTATGAAGAGCAAGAGCAAAATGAGTAGAGATGAATATGAATTAGAAGAAATGATTGAATTTGAAAGACAACAGGAAGAAATTAGACGTAGTGAATTGTTACTGGAACAGGTAGAAGCTAAAAAAAAGAAGATCAGGGAAAAGGAAGCTCTAATTGACGAGCTCATGTTTTCAAGTACAAATGCTAAGAATATTGTTGAAACATTTGCACAACAAGCCAAAGAATCAAAGGAAATAGAAAATAAACAATCAGTAAAACGTCCAACTCAATTTTCAAGTGGCATTCAATTTGGAAAACAATCAAATACGTTTTTACCATTACCTATAGAAGAAGGCCCCTTGTATATTTATCAGCCTCCCTTGGTAATTATGGAAGGGCCACTATTACCTTCAGAAGAAGAATTATCAAGAGTAGGCTATTTAAGANTCGTTCTTTTTTGCTTTTCGCCATGGGGTAATATCAACTTACACAAAAATATTTTGGGGTAATGATTAAAAAAGTTCCCCGACCGCTGCACTAGATACTAATGGTTTTCTTAAGGGCATGGGCACTTTTCGATCCTTTAAAATGTTTTTAGATTTGTCAGAGGAATGGTCGACTTTGTTTGTTATTTCGAGTGAGGGATTTGGAGAAAAGGCATCAAATAGGGACAAAAATAATGGCATATATGATCGAAAGAAGGAAACAGTCGCCCTTCTTGCGATCCCTTAAGCTAGAAACACCCGGTTTGCTGATGTGGCCCATCGAATTGTGCCATGTTATTGCCCCTTCGAGTCCCTTGTGGACAATTTCCGCTAAAGACTTTTTAAAAACAAGGTAAATTAATTATAACAGAGGCAACTAATTAATCGAGAAAATTGTGTCAAAATCTTTAAGTACATTCATCATCATCTTCTTCATCAGTATTATAGGGTTGTCGTACTTCTGTATCGAAAACTGGACCACCTGACTAACCTGACCTAACCTAACCTAACCTAACCTAACCTAACCTAACCTAACCCGATTAAACTTGCGCGATGCCACCTTGCCGTACTTTCCCTTAACTATTTACCGAGCTCTACCTCTGTCCCTCTTTACTCCTGTTTCTGCTTCTAATAGATATGTCTCCAACTAACCCTTCGTGCCTCAGAGGGTGTCCTACCATTCTATTTCTCATTTTTAAGGTCCAAAACTTAATAACATTCAGAAATAAAAAATATTTTTTTTTAAAATTGATAAGGAAGGGGACCGAGTGGAAGAAAACAATTACTAACATTATTGTGGCGTTTTTAAGGATCGAATTCGTGCTTACGTTGGAGGGTACATCAATATCGACTGGTCAAACGTCGACAACAAAAACTTCGTACGTAAGCAGCGAGGTCCTTTGGGGTCACCGCTTTAGACCATGCATCCGGTACGATAATGATATGTGTTCGTACGTGGTAAACCAAGAGCATTTTCACGAAACAGAGGAAGTGATAACGCCCTTATGTAGCGGTAGCGATTTGCAAAAAGTTTTCGAATATTTTTACGATTCTCCCCATAATTCGATAAGGTCCTGTAAACTGAACCGGATATCGACTTCTTCCGCTTCTTCTACGACGGATAGTGTACAGACGTCGTCAGATTTAGTCGCAGAGAACGGCGAGAAAAGGGCGCTCCTCTTAAAAACCAACAACGGCTTTATCAATGAAGTTGTAAGAAAACTAAGCGTCATAAGCGAACGGTCCAGGGAGGCCGTTGAATGCGATGGTCATAACGAGGATGATAAAAAGAACAGAAACGTGAACCACGAGATTATCAGGTTGGAAGAGGACGTTAACAAATGCCTGGACGATTTGAATAAACATCTGCTGGATATTGATAGGGCGGAGAATGTGCGGAAGGCGGAGAATGTGCGGAAGTCGGAGGATGAAGTCGAAAAACTCGTTTGGGAATTGCAGAACTACCATCGTTAATAATCTCGAAGACTTCGATAATAAAACAGGTGATTATTAAGTAAAATATTAATACGTAATTAATATACTAATTAAAATATCCGCATAATTCTAAATTTTTCANTATGTACATGTAATCTTAATACACAGACCATGGAAATTTTATTTTAACAAAAATTAGATGGAAAATTAATTTCCAGTAATACATATTATTTTTCTTGTAGTGAAGGCTTAGGTACCTACTTATTGCTTTCGTTTTTGCAAAATATTTTCACGATAGCATGATAAGGTTTACTTTTGTTATTTTTGGCACCAAGCAAATTTAAGGTTTGAATTTTCCTGCTTCATGGGTTGTGTTTGCGTAGGTCACAAGTACCTAAAGGTGCCATAAATTAAAGGTCTCTGCATTTTACATTCTATTTTTTTTGAAAAAAACATCGGTTTGTTCTTGCACAAATAGTTGTGAGTGGTACCAAAAAAATGGTACATCTTATCTAATGTCGACTAAAATAAAAACACTGAAATAGATGACCCTGGGCGCTGTCCACATGACTATAAAAGTACAAGGATGTTTTGAATAAAATTAATGACAGACTCCAAAAGCCAAAAGCATTTTATTTAAATTCTTATTATTAAACATTTTGTTAAATGGTAAATTGCAAGTTTTTGTTAGCTGACATTTTCTGTTTTATATTTTTAGAAATCCATTCCCTCAAGAAAATAGGGGTATCAGTCGTTTGATACACAGTACAGGAAAATACAATGTTAGTAAAAACCAGACGCCTGAATTCTGGATCGCCCATATTCGGGACTTTTCTCACACTCTGGTGGAGAGTTCGTGGAAATGGATCCTTCTTGCATTCATTTCCAGTTACATTTTGTGCTGGTTACTGTTCGCGTGGTTTTACGAATTGGTCGCCATTGCGAACGGTGACCACGATGGTAATTACACATCCAGTAAACCGTGTTTGGAAGGGATCCACAGTTTCACCGGGTATTACTTGTTCAGTCTGGAAACCCAACATACCACAGGGTTCGGATCGCGAGTCATTACCGACAATTGTGTCGAAGGGGTTTTTATCTTGTCCATGCAGGTGATCTTGGGTAGTGCCATTTGTGGAGGAATGGCTACGTTGGTCTATACGAAAATGGTCAAACCGGAAAGTAAAAATACGAAAAAGCTGTTTGCCAAAAATGCAGTTGTAAGTACCTTTTAAGTTTAATATTATTTATAAAAAATTCTTTTTTTTTTGGGGTTTGAAGGTTTGAA